CTCGGTTCACTTGCAAGCTCCGCCTCCCGGGTTCACGCCATTTTCCTGCCTCAGCCTCCTGAGTAGCTGGGACTACAGTGCCCACCACCACGCCTGGATAATTTTCTGTATTTTCTTTTAGTAGAGACAGGGTTTCACTGTGTTAGCCAGGATGGTTTCGATCTCCTGACCTCGTGATCCGCCCACCTTGGCCTCCCAAGGTACTGGGATTACAGACATGAGCGACCGTGCCCAGCCTGCTTATCTTTTAAAATTTAAGAAAATGCAGACCTCCTCAACCCACTCAGTTCAATGTCATTACTACTATGAAACATGCGCTGCAGGGGCCATGCTCATGGCTGTTTCCACTGTGCCTTTCCTTCTGCAACGCTAGGGTGGGCAGAATGACGTGTGAAGGGGGCCTTCGTAGCACCTTTCCAATCAGGCAGGGCAACCTGCCTTCATCAGCACTCTTTCTCTACACTTTCTTCTTGTTTCTTCTTCCAGGTGAATTTTTAATTATTTTGTTAAGTTCAAGAATAAAGTTTGTTGGGATTTTAATTGGAGATTGATTTGGAATAATTCGCCTTTTTTTTTTTTTTTTTGAGACGGAGTCTCGCTCTGTCACCCAGGCTGGAGTGCAGTGGCTGGATCTCAGCTCACTGCAAGCTCTGCCTCCCGGGTTTACGCCATTCTCCTGCCTCAGCCTCCCGAGTAGCTGGGACTACAGGTGCCTGCCACCTCACCCGGCTAGTTTTTTTTTTGTATTTTTTAGTAGAGATGGGGTTTCACTGGGTTAGCCAGGATGGTCTCGATCTCCTGACCTCGTGATCCGCCCGTCTCGGCCTCCCACAGTGCTGGGATTACAGGCTTGAGCCACCGCGCCCGGTCATAATTCGCTTTTTAAATGGTTCCTCTCACTATCTGCCCTGACGGAACTGAGGGTTTGAGACTGGGAAAGAGGAGACAGCGACCACGGTGAGTTGGTCCAGGAAGTAGCGCCCCTCCCTTTACTCCTCTGTGGGCAAGAGCCTTCCCATGGCAAGAGGACAGCTGTGTCCCAGACATGTTCAGGCGGATGCTGCACAGCCTCTCCCTGGAGACAGAATCACAGGAGTTCACATATCAGGAGTGGCTGGGGCCCCATCTTTCTTACTTCCTCTGTTTTCATTTGACAAACACTCAGGAGTCCCCACCTGCAGCGTTTCCTCCCTGAGGTTCCCTGGCTTTGGCATTGTGACACAGGGTCTGGTTGCCTTGCGAGCACAGGTCAACACCTCCTGCCCCCTGGCTAGGTCCACTTCCTCTGGCCCACCAGCAGCTCAGGCAGTGCTGGCCTTGCACAGCACCTGAAGGCAGGTGAAGCCCCGTGGCTCAGCAGGGGCCTCTGGTTCTTCTGTGGCATCGTGAGAGCAGGTCTTCTCTGTGCCCTCAGTTCAGGACCCACACGATTCCCTGCCATCTTCTGTCCCCAGGACCACGCTCCAGGCCTCTGGACAAACACTTTCCCGGAATTTTCTTCCTCTCCTTTCCTCTTCTGCCTTTCTGTTAAGCTGGCTACCTCATTTTCATTAATTCCTCTCTTCTTCCTTGCTTGCTGCTTCTAAAAACTGTCATAACTATGCAAAGCTCTGCTGGCTCCTCTCCTCCTGGAGTCACCTAGGGTCAGTGGACTGGCAGCCCCCCGAAGCCCCATCCTGCTCCTTGCTGAACGTTTACCTGTGTCCAGCAGCTCCCCCAAGGAAACGCTGGAGACACCTTCTCATAAGCCACCTGCACGACTCACTAGCGGTTCAGCCCTCGAGGCTGGGAGTAGAGTCCACACAAACATTTCTAAAGCCCTCCATGTGTGAGGGGCTGAGGAGTACACCTGCAAGGAAGTGTGGTCCTACCGCATGTGATTTACCCATGCTGTGGTGCAGGCAGGCAGCACAGCCTAAGGTTGGGGTGTACAGGAGGCAGGATGAACTCTGGGGCTTCAGGAAAGGGCGAGCCACTACAAGATTCCTCATGGAGTTCTGGGTAGGCCCGGGAGACAAAAATCTGGTTCGTTCTTTGTTTTATAGTAAGTCCTCACTTAATGTCATCGAGAGGTTCTTAAGACACTGTGATGTTAAGTGAAATGGTGATGTGCTGTGTCACAAAACCAGTTTCACTGTAGGCTAACTGATATGAGCCACAGCTGAGTTCTCATGGCTTATGGTATGTGGTTTCACCCAAAGCTGCAGTTTCCAGGAACCGACTGCCCACACTAACAACTGAGCTGACATCAAACTGAATGAAGCCCCTGGCTAACCTAAATGTCCATTGCTCTAAAGAGTAACAAACCAACCCAAACCGTGACCAGCTCCTCCTCCTCTCACTAAAGCAACTCAGTGTGACTTCAGGAAAATGACTCATCTTTTCTGCCTTTGGTTTTCTCATCTTTCAGATGAAGTGGCTAGATTAAATCAGTGGTTCTGAAATAAACAGTTATGAAACCTGTTCTTCCAACTTGACATTTCTGCAAAGGTTTTTCTTTTTTTTTTTTCAATATGGAGTCTTGCTCTGTTGTCCAGGCTGGAGTGCAGTGTCATAATCTCGGCTCACTGCAACTCTGCCTCCCAGGTTCAAGTGATTCTCATGCCTCAGCCTCCTCAGTAGCTGGGACTACAGGCACATGCCACCATGCATGGCTAATTTTTGTATTTTCAGTAGAGTTGGGGTTTCGCCATGTTGGCCAGGTTGGTCTCGAACTCCTGACCTCAAGCCATCTGCCCGCCTCGGCCTCCCAAAATGCTGAGGTTACAGGCATGAGCCACCATGCCTGGCCTGCAGAAGCTTTTTTAAAGGTAGGGTTTGCAAACCACAAAATCCAGTGATCTTCTCTTTTACAACCTTCTATGTTTTACCTTGTATTGCCCCAAAGAGCAGCCAGCAGCCACATGTGGCTGTTTAGTTAAAATCTTAAATAAATTTACAAGAAAAAAACAACCCCTTTAAAAAGTGGGCAAAGTCGGCTGGGCGCGGTGGCTCAAGCCTGTAATCCCAGCACTTTGGGAGGCCGAAACAGGTGGATCACGAGGTCAGGAGATCGAGACCATCCTGGCTAACACGGTGAAATCCCGTCTCTACTAAAAAATACAAAAAACTAGCCAGGTGAGGTGGCGGGCGCCTGTAGTCCCAGCTACTCGGGAGGCTGAGGCAGGAGAATGGCGTGAACCCGGGAGGCAGAGCTTGCAGTGAGCTGAGATCCGGCCACTGCACTCCAGCCTGGGCGACAGAGCGAGACTCCGTCTCAAAAAAAAAAAAAAAAAAAAAAAAGGTGGGCAAAGTACATGAACAGACACTTCTCAAAACAAGACATTCATGTGACTGAGAAACAAATGAAAAAAAGCTCAACATCACTTATTAGAGAAATGCAAATAAAAACCAAAGTGAGATACCATCTCACACCAGTCAGAATGGCAATTATTAAAAAGTCAAGAAACTATGGATGCTGGCAAGTCTGTGGAGAAAAAGGAATGCTTTTACACTGTTGGTCAGAGTGTTCAATCATTCTGGAACACAGTGTGGCAATTCCTCAAAGACCTAGAAGCAGAAATAACACTTGACCTAGCAATCTCATTTCTGGGCATATACCCAAAGGAATATAAATCATTCCATCATAAAGATACAGGTATGCATACGTTCACTGCAGCACTAGTCATAAGAGCAAAGACATAGAATCAGCTCAAATGCCCATCAATGATAGACTGAATAAAGAGAATAAGGGACATATACACCATGAAATTCTATGCTGCCATAAAAAGGAACGAGATCATATCCTTTGCAGGGACATGGATGAAGCTGGAAGCCATTATCCTCAGCAAACTAATGCAGGAAGAGAAAAAAAAACCACTGCATGTTCTCACTTATAAATGGGAGTTGAATGATGAGAACACATGGACGCATGTATGGGAGCACCACACACTGGGGCCTGTCTGGGGGCATGGAGGGAGTGACAGCACCAGGAAGAATAGCTAATGGATGCTGGGCTTAACACCTGGGCGATGGGTTGATCTGTGCAGCAAACCATCACGTCACATGTTTACCTATGTAACAAACCTACACATCCTGCACATGTACCCCAGAAGTTAAAAGTTGAAGAAAAAAAGTAGTAATTTTTAAAATTAAAATACAATAAAATTAAAATTCAATTTCTTAGTCACATTAGCCACCTTTTAAGTGCTCAGCAGCCACTGTGGCTAAGGTTCAGCCAGCACAGATCTAGAACATTCCCATCATCACAGAAGGTTCTACAGGACAGTGCTGCCCTGCACTTATGCAAACATGCATGCATAGTTCCCCTCTTTTATGCAGATGGCGGCATGTTCTGCTCCCTTACCAAGATATACAGAGCTAGGTCCTTCATGATATCTGGAGGAACAGTTTCAGTGTAGAGACCAAGAGACCGGATGCTGGGCCCAACAGCAGGAGTTCAGTCCCAGCTCTGACCTTTACTAGAGTGTGACTCTGAGCAGTCATGGAGCCTCTTGCTGCTTTGGTTTCATATTCGTAAACTGGATATAAAATGCCTAACTCATGGAATTGTGGTCAAGATCAAATGCACTTAGACAATGTCGGTCACATGGTAAATATTTCATCACTGCTAGCTTTACTTCCGTCACCACTGCCTACTTCATTCTCTGATGACACATGCAGGCCCATCATACGGATGGAGACAGTAGGCGTTTAGGGTGTTTCCAGTCTTCCGTTATCACAAACACTAGTGCAATAATTATCCTCCCAAGCACATCTCTACACACAGGTGGAATCCATTTTGATGGATTCTGCCAAATTGCCCTCAAAGAGGTTCTTCCACCTTAGACTCTGTCTCCCAACAACACACGCGTGACTGTGTCCCTCTACCATACAGCATGTGCCCTTTGATGACGGGCTTCTTTTTACTCAGCACAGGCCCATCCGTGTTGTCGTGTGTGTCAGCCACGCTGCTTCTGCATCCACCCATCCACCTTCTTCTCTCAATACCCCAATCCCCATCATGGTTCAGGAGTTGTGGGTTTCCTCGTGTCCTCCAGAACCACAGTTCTGGCTGAGAGACCACCTGCCACCATGGCTTGAAAACCCTTTCCAATTCTGTAGCCAGCGGAGTTAGATCCATATTCCTGGCCTATGTGGAAAGACGTTAAGTCATAAGTTAATCCACAAAGTTCTAGCACTCCAAAGAGAACATTTTTAGTAAGTGAAATTTTTTTTTAAAGGAAACAGCACTTCTATATTTTTGGATGTGCTTACTAAGAAAATAATATGTAATAACTAAAGAATTAATTCAAAGGAATATTGTTCCAAGATTAAGTTTAGTTTATACTTAGAAAGGCGGAATTCAGCCTCTAAAATCGTAAGTGTCTTGTGGTGAAATTACTTCTTTTTCCCAAATGGACAACATTTCATGAGTAAGGGAATGGAAAAAATGCTCAGTGCAGATTCACTTGGGACTGTAATTATCTAAATAGGCTCACATGCTGTCCTGGGGGATGGAGCGGGAACAGCAGCAAATACCAAAGCCTCCTTTTTCTGAATGGTGACATGATGGCTTTGGTGTTGGGTGTGTCATGTCGCAGCACCAGTTGCTGGCATATTTGACCTACTGAGGCCCTCAGCCTCAGATAGCCCTCAGGAGGAAAGAAAACAAAGATATTTAAATCACCCTCAGTCTCCAGGAGGAGGACACTTTCTGACAATATTTATTTTTGAAAATCCTATTTTTCCTTCCTAAAGCTGGCATGACATCTAGTATTTCTATTTACACGGAAAAAAGTGTAAATGGGCAGTTTTGATATAGATATTTCCTTCAAATGACCCTGGAAAGCCAGAAAATGAGGCTAACTCATGATAATAACCTTTCTTTCGTTTTAGAGACAGGGTCTCACTCTGTCACCAAGGCAGGAGTGCAGTGGCATGATCATGACTCACTGCAGCCTTGAACTCCTGGGCTCAAGCAATCCTTCTGCCTCAACCTCCCAAAGCGTTGGGATTAAAGGCATGAGCCACTGTGCCCGGCCAAGAACCTTTAACTGAAAGTCCAGTGAGGTCTCTAAAAGCCCACCTTGTGAGTCCCCTCACTTTCTCCCGCATTTCATAGGAATTTGGCAGGTTGGAAGAGGCAGGATGTGGGCCCTTAGTCTGCAGGGTGGCTGAGTTTCTGGTCTTCCTAGATGTTCCTCTCAGCCACCGGCCACCATCTCCAGGGGGCATGCTGGCCTCTGCTCTCCCTCCACAGCCCACTGGAACTTTCGCTCTTATCCTCTGCCTCTGTTACACCTCTAATTCTCCGATATGGACCTCGATGAGTTGCCCTGATGAAGGCCTGGAGCCCAAATTGCTGGCAACCAAAACACTCTCTCCTTTTCCTTAAGGACACGGAGGACCTAATCTTCCCACTTTTCAGGTAGGTGGTGGTGAGGGCAGGGAGGGGAGCTGCGTACCATACCTCTGAGAAAAGGGAGGATAAATAAAACAGCTAAGTACTCCTGTTAGAAAAAGCCAGTCTTTCCACACAGGCCAGGAATATGGGTCTAACTCCGCTGGCTACAGAGTCAGTACGGGTTTTCAAGTCATGGCGGCAGGCGGTCTCCCAGTTGTGGTTCTGGAAGACACAAGGAAAACCACAACTCCTGAACTAGAATGGGGTAGAGGCTATGGAGAGAAGAAGGTGGACGGATGGATGCAGAAGCAGCATGGCTGACACACGCTGCAACACAGATGGGCCTGAGGAAGTTGCACTGAGTGAAATCAGCCCCTCACCAAAGGGCACATGCTGTGTAAGTCCACGTCTATGAGGTGCCCAGAATGGGTAAATTCAGAGACAAAGCAAAATGGTGGTTAGAGGCTGAAGACAGGGAATAGGAAGCCCCCACCCCAGTGTTTAAAGCTTACAGAGCTCAGTTTGGGATGATGAAAACGTTTTGGAAATAGAAAGCAGTGATGATTGCACAACCATGTGAATGTGCTTCATGCCTCTGAACTGTACATTAAAACAGTTAAAATGACAAATTTCATGTTATGTGTATTTTACAATAAAAAATAAAAAAAGAGGCCGGTCATGGTGGCTTACACCTGTAATACCAGCACTTTGGGAGGCCGAGGTGGGTGGATCACGAGGTCTGGAGATCGAGACCATCCTGGCTAACACAGTGAAACCCCGTCTCTACTAAAAATACAAAAAATTAGCCAGGCGTTGTGGCAGGCACCTGTAGTCCCAGCTACTCAGGAGGGTGAGGGCAGGAGAATGGTGTGAACCTGGGAGGCAGAGCTGGCAGTGAGCTGAGACTGCGCCACTGCACTCTAGCCTGGGTGACAGAGTGAGACTCCGCCTCAAAAAGAAAAAAAAAAAAATCTTCTGACCACGTGCGGTGCCTCATGCCTGTAATCTCAGCACATTTGGAGACTGAGACGGGTGGATCACCTGAGGTCAAGAGTTCAAGACTAGCCTGGTCAACATGGTGAAACTCCATCTCTACAAAAATACAAAAATTAGCTGGGCATGGTGGCGGGTGCCTATAATCCCAGCTACTTGGGAGGCTGAGGCAGGAGAATCACTTGAACCCGGGAGGCAGAGGTTGCAGTGAGCCAAGATCGTGCCACTGCACTCCAGCCTGGGCGACAGAGTAAGACTCTATCTCAAAATAAATAAAAATAAAAAAAGAAAAACCAGATCAAGAACAACAAGGCTTAAGGGACAGACCACACCCCCTCTTCATCAAAGCACCAATAAAAGGAGCTAGGTAAGTGAACTTCATTTGGCAAAAATGGATCCTTGCTGTGAAATAAAAAGTACTTTCATTTAGCAGCATCATTAAAAAAATGTTTAAAAAGTACTTTAAGCATATGCCCTACTTCACAAGCTGGTAAGTAATCTTGCCCAATTAGGATGGAGAGTTTCCAGTTATCCCTTTAAACAGCTGCTAAGAAGTTCTGCTTGGTCATGTGGGTGTTTCTGTCCAGGAGCATCCTGGTGCTACGAGGCTCAGTCTTGCAGAAGTGTCAGCCCACGAATGCAGGCGCGACCCCATGCGTGCTGGTGACTAAGCATCAGATGCCACGAGACGCTGGTGTGGATCCCTGAGTGAGCCACATCTGTCCTTCTCTGTTCACCCTGCTTTCTCACCACCCTCACCCTTGCAGGCTGCTGTCCGACCCTGACTCCTCCAACTCACAGTGCTCCAGATCTGCTCTGGGTCTTGGGAGTCCCTCTTGCTCCCAGGCACAGCCCTGACTTTTGGCTGCACCCCTGGCGACAGTGGCCAGTGGTCTTGGCCCAAGGCTCTTCCTTCATTCTACCCTAGAAAACAGCCCTGGCAAGAGCACTTGGGTCCAGACCCTGCCTCCAACTCTGATTTTTAACCTCAGAACATAGATGGAAACAGTAATGTTAGTATTGTAAAATGTATACTTCAAGATTAAAAGGACTAACTAAAATTAAAGGTAAAAACCATCAAGAAGATAGGGCTAGAAACCTTTATGTATGGTTCGACATAATCTCTTAGAAATCAAAGCTTTTGACACAAACCACAGTTAAGAGTAAGAGACTTCAACACACCTGACTCAGAATTCAGCAGATCAAGTGGCCACATGGGATGGGAGACACTCGATCTCCCACTGAGGCACAGGGGTCGCTGACGGGCCTCAGACCACTCACACCTTGAACCCTGAGAACAGGAGGAGGCCTAGCCTTACCTCTGTACAACTAACAGGTCCTTTCAGAGGACCTTCTCCAAAACAACAGTATCAGTCCCAGGGAAAACTTCAGTCTTCACTGTTAGAGAACATAAAAATTGTCTGAAACTTTTAAATGAAAAGTTTTCTAACTTCCACCCATTTTTTTTTTTTTTTTAAGCTTCAAGTTTTCATTTGTCAGATTGGAGAGTCACAGTCTTATACCCAGAGTATAAAACATCTTTGGCCGGGCGCAATGGCTCACACCTGTAATCCCAGCACTTTGGGAGGCCGAGGCAGGCGGATCATGAGGTCAGCAGATCGAGACCATCCTGGCTAACACAGTGAAACCCCATCTCTACTAAAAATACAAAAAATTAGCCAGGCGTGGTGGCGGGCATAGTCCTAGCTACTCGGGAGGCTGAGGCAGGAGAATGGCATGAACCCGGGAGGCGGAGCTTGCAGTGAGCAGAGATTGCGTCACTGCACTCCAGCCTGGGTGACAGAAGTGAAACTCTGTCTAAAAAAAAAAAAAAAAAAAAAAAAAGTTTGGCTGAGAATTAATTCTGTCACCAACCCTACTAGAGAAGGCAGTAAAGTAAATACCTATTAGTTTTTTGTTTTTTATTTAAAGAGTCAGAGTCTCACTCTGTTGCCCACACTGGAGTGCAGTGGCATAATCACAGCTCACTGCAACCTTGAACTCCTGGGCTCAAGCAATCCTTCCACTTCAGCCTCACAAGTACCCAAGACTACAGGCATGTAGTGCCACTATGCCCAGCTATTTTTCTACAAAGTTTTTGTAAGAGAAAGTCTTGCTACGTTGACCTCATTGGTCTCAAACTCCTGGCCTCAAGCGATTCTCCCACCTTGGCTTCCTAAAACCCTGAGATTATAGGTGTGAGCCACTTCACTTGGCCCTTAAATTGCATTTTTGACTATATAAAAAGGTGATACAGGGTTTTAGAGCTCACTAACATCATAACTAAAAAGATCAGCCTTTATTAACACAAAACTTCATTTATACTTAAAGCAAGCAACCACAAGCCAAATGTCTCTTCAACAATAAGAATATAAAAAATAATATGCTTGATACTAAATATTAACCGCAATCAAGTAGAGATTTCCCACAACAGTAATACACCATAACCAAATTGGAATTTTGCCCCCAGATATGTAAGAATTTTTTCCTATCAGAAAATCTATTTGTTATTAATTACATAAATAAGTTTAAAAAGAAACCATATGAACAGCTTATTAACTGCCAAAAAGGAATTTGCTGTAATTCTTATCTATTTCTGGATTTAAAAAATAAGTTTAAAAAGAAACCATATGAATAGCTTATTAACTGTCAAAAAGGAATTTGCCATAATTCTTATCTATTTCTGGATTTAAAAAAACTCAGTAAATTCAAAACACATGCAAGCTTCCCTTAATTGATAAACTATTCATCAGAAAACAATACAAAAATCTTATTTAAAGTAAGATATTGCTATTAATGGAAAAATAAAACAACAATGCCCAGCATTAATAAGTATTAGTTGTTCTGGACTGTCATGAATGCAATAAACCAAAAAAAGTACAAGAGGTATAAATATTGGAAAGAAGAAACAAAATTATCATTATTTGTAATAATTTATCTAGAAAACCAACAAGTATAATGAAATAATGAAAAATGCCAGGGCATAAAAGTCATCACGACAATGCACATCACAGCACTGGCTGACCCTCACAGGGCCCTGGCTGGGGCCCAGGACGCTGTGCCGCACTCAGGTCACACTCTCATTTCTCTGCTCAGCAGCAACCTGTGGCAGAGGACCAGACCCACAGAGCCGCAGAAGGAAACAGCAAGTCCAGACACCACGCAGTTCCCATTCATACCTAGGCCTATCAGGTAGTTCAAGAGAGATGATGAAGTAAGTGATGCTGAAATAAATGGCCATCCAGAACAAAGGGGTATGTGTATTTACATAGTGTGTGTGTATAGATGTGTGTGTGTGTCTATATATATATACACACACACAAATATATATATATAAAGGATACACCTGCAATCTCTGTGACAGATATGGTTAATATCCTTCAGGAGAAACGAATAAAGCTCTCTGAGGCCTCCAGGCAGACAGCGATGAAATGCATGCACTCACTCACAATCTCATTCCATTGTGAAGCCCCACGAAACCACAGAAAGGATTTTTTTTCCCCCAAAAGCATTAACTGACAAGGAAAAAGAGAACAGGAAACAAAACAAAACATTGGCAGTTGAAAAGTTGATGGACAAGAAATAACTAACGTAACAGACCTAAGCAAATTAAATCCCAAGACAGCAGTGGGGAAGGGCAAAGACCCAACCTGATTTATGGTACAAAATCCCCCAAAGGCTCAGGAAATTTGTGGCAAGAGGTGCTTCAGGTGGGGGAATGAAGGTGGTTAAAAACAGGAGGACTGGGTTAGAAATCTGTTCACATAGCAGCCAAAGCTCCAGACACTCTCTCTTCTCTGCACACCAGAGGATAAAATGAGGCCTCTGGACCAGGTGGGTATCGAGCAGTTGAGGCACAAGTGATGCACCGAAAACAAGGGAATTAAGTGAATTTACAAGATGAGGGCTGAGATCGTCACTCTCTACCCCCAGGCCTCTTCTCTGACTGATCCCATCATCCCGGCTGCCAAGTCTAAGCCCTCAAGCAGGAGACTGGAAGGCCCTTCTCTGGGGAATGGATGAGCCCAAGAGGAAGGACCTAAAGACACTGACATCAGGAGTTCATCATGGACATGCCACGGGAACAGCTCTCTACTATGAAGACCATAGTCGCAAGCCTCATACACAGGTCTGGGCAGTGGTCAGCTTTGCAGAGCCTCCAACTAAACATGAGCAGTCAAACCTTGAGCATAAAGATAGAGACCTAAAGATACCAATGGAGCAAAGGG